GTTTCCAAACATGTTCCGGAATGTTTTTGAACTTTTCCGGAATTTAATTCTTTGAACTTTAATTAAAACACTTCCGGAAAGTTTTATTTTTTATTTCCTTGTTTTCCTCTGTTCATTTTTATTCTCTCATTTTCACTCCCTCCCATACTTCCCCTTCTACATAATTTTAAGCCTCTCGTTTTAATTGTGCATTTGTGCGGGAAAATAATAAATATGCCCTTATTTCATAGAATTGGGTGTTCAAAGAAAAAATAGGAGATTTTAACGTTAAAAAATAAATATTTTATCAAAATTTATTTAAAAACCCACGCCTCTTCAATTAAAAAAAATTTTGCTTCAGCTTCAAAAAAAATTTTTTTCATAAATCCTAACTTATTGGTATCATATTTCTTTGTTTTAAAAATATTTTTGATTTGCTTTAAGGATGAATTTTAACAAAAAAAGGAAAAAAATTGTTGGTGGTTGCAAATGATGCCAATAAATATTAATATACCCCCTCCCTAAGGGAGAAGCCTTTCGTGACTTCCGCCCATTTTTGTTTCACACAAACAGACCTATCCATTTTTTCTTTTATTTTACCTAAATCTAGGCTTTGTGAGAATATAAAAATTTTTAAAAATGCCCTGTGAATTAGTTAAAACAATAAATAAGGGGGAGAATTAAATCTGGCACCGCCCCCGTTTTTCTCTCATTCAAATAGATATATAAATAACTCCAACATTGTAAAATTATGTTTTAGTTAATACATACAACATGTTTTAGTTTTACTTGTAGTGTTTCAAATTAAATTAATGTTTTTCCGGAATGTTTAGCAAAAGTTTTATTTATTGACATCAATTTAACTAAACTTTCCGGAAATTTAATTTTTCTTTTCAGGCTTATTTATTAAAAATCAATTCCGGAAAGTTTATTTTATTTTTAATAAAATACAACTTGTTCAGAATGCTGGTTTTATGTTTTATTATTTGTATTTTCCGAATGTTTTCCGGAAAGTTTATTTAAATGTTTACTAATAAGAATACATTCCGGAAAACATTTTCTTTGAAATAAACTTGAAATAGAAACTCAAGTTTATTTAAACTCAGGGCAGCAAAACAAGTTTGCTAAACATTCCGGAAAAACACTATTTTAATTGAAAACACATTCCGGAAAGTTTATTTTATTTTTATTAAGTGAAATACAATTTTGTATTTTCCGTAAAGTTTATTAAAATACTCATTTACATAAAACCTGAAATTTGTCTTTTAAGGAAAAATCCTTCTAAAAATGTACATAATTAATGCATGTCATAATGCATTTGTGCGTGTGTGGGGTTTTCTTTTTCAGATTTTTATTTTGAATTGTTCTTTTTTATTTAAAAAAATTTTGGGTTTATTTCTTTATTTAATAAATCTATAAAAAATTATTTACACGAATATTCTTGGAATTTTTAATTTTTATAGTGAGAAAAAAAATTAATTTTCTGACAACACCCAATATTTTAAATTTTTATTGGCAAAAATCAAAAAATTTTTAAAAATAAAATTTAAATTTTTTTGCATAATTTTTTTCTATTTTTAATTTAATTCCCAAACAAGTTGATAATTTTTAAAAATAATTTTTTCGCTCCCAAAAATAATTTTTTCTCCCCAAAAAAATATTTTTTTCTCCTCAAAAAATATTTTTTTCTATCGCTATTTTTATATTTTATGTGTGTGAAGAAATTATTTAAAATTTATTTTCAGAAAAAAAATTCTTTAAAAATAAAGAAAATGACTAAAATACACAATAATGCCGCCTCAAGATTTGTAGCGGCACCCTCATTAATTCTCACAGGCACACAAGCTTTGTTACTCCCTGTAATACTCTCTACATTAATTGTTACCGTAAGTTTGTATATTCAGGAAAACACAAATATTACAAGAAAACACAAATTTGTTAAAAGTTTTCCGGAAAGTTTATTTTAATGTATTTTCCGGAAAACATTTCTTTCTTTCCGGAAACACTATTAATAATTTTGCACAAAGTTTTATGTTTTCCGTAAAGTTTATTTTATAATATTAATTTAAAATAATATTTTTCCGGAATGTTTAGAGTAATTTAATTATACTAACAACCTTAATATAAACCTGCTGTTCAATACGTAATATAAGCTTCCGGAAAATTATTTTACAAACTTTCCGGAAAAAATTATACTAGGTATATTTTCCGGAGGAATATATATTTTCCGGAAGGATATATACTTTCCTGAACAATATATAGGTATTCTATTTTCCGGAAGAATATATATTTTATTTTCCGGAAAAGTATATAATATTTTCCGGAAGAATATATTTCCCTGACAATATATGTATATTTTACTTTCCGGAAAGTTTATTTTACAATTAATTTTCTAATTATTACATTTCAGAGAACAATCGCTGCACCAGCACAGAAATCAGCTCTTGTAGCTACTCCGCCTAAAGAAAATATAAAGCGAGCTTTTGACTCTTTTGTAAGCTCCTTCACAGTCTCATCTATTAAAAATTGTTTTAGGGCACTCCAGGCTTTACAGGTTTTGACAAACGTTCGTTTGACTCATTCACAGGCTCTGGATTTACTGGACTGGACAAGCGTTCTTTTGACTCATTTGTAGGGAAAGGCTTTACTGGAATGGACAAGAGAGCTTTTGATTCATTTGTGGGACAAATAAATTAATTAAAAAATTAAAAATAAATTTCCAGGGAACTCCAGGCTTTACCGGCTTCGATAAACGCTCTTTCGACTCCTTCACGGGCCCAGGCTTTACTGGCCTCGACAAACGCTCAGCTTTCGATTCATTTGTGGGAAGGGGTTTTACAGGAATGGATAAGAGGGCTTTTGACTCCTTTGCTGGAAATGGGTTTACTGGATTTGATAAGCGCAATTTTGATGCTTTTATGGGCCCTGGATTTACCGGACTGGACAAAAGAGCAGCTTTTGATTCGTTTGTTGGACGAGGATTTACAGGAATGGATTAAAAAAGAAATTATTTTAAAATAAAAAATTTTTGTGTGTTTCCTCTTCCTTGTCCTCATTTTCTTTTAATTTTTCTCTTTTCTATTAAATGGCAAATGATCTCTAGAAAAGGTTTATATCTCTATTTTAAGTTTAAAATTATGTATAAAATTTATGAACGTATTTTTAATGCAATAGAGTATATTCCGGAAAGTGTGATGTATAATACACAATATTCCGGAAAGTTTTTTATGATACTTAGTATACACAGAATATTCCGGAAAATTATTCCGGAAGGTGTATTTTTCCAGTTCAAATTAAATTGTCTAAAACAAAATGCATGTTTTCCGGAAAGTTTTAGATATGTAAATACAAGATATTCCGGAATATAGAACTTGCCGGAAAGTTATTCTTGAAACTTTATAGATAAATATATATAATTCCGGAAAGTTTCTTTTTAAAATTAAATAACAATTTCCGGAATGTTTACAGCAAAACATGTTTTCCGGAAAGTTTATTTTATAAGAATAAAAAATGTTTACTAATACAACAAACATAGAAACATTTTCCAAAACTTGAATTTAAACAAGTTTGTTAAATAAAAATTACAACAAACATTATACAATTAAAGTTTTGTAATAATCACAATTACAAACTTAAAAGTTTCATTAATTTTGCAAACTTAAAAAAATATTTTATTTTTTAAAAATAAATCATATTTTATTAATTTTTACCAAAATATTATTTTTTAAATTTTTAAAATTTATTAAAAAAAAATTTTTTTAACTTTTCCGATCGTGTAGTAAAGAAAAATAATAATTTTATTTTTAATAAAAATTACATTGTAAAAATAAAAATAATGCGCGAAAGGTAAAATGTGTTCAAGTTTGTCGTAGACGTCAACATTCTTTCGCCAAAATTTTTGTTTGTTATCAATTTAAAATTTTTTTTATTTTTAAATTTATTTTTAATATTCTCATTTATTTGGCAAAGAATTTTTTTCGTTTAAAAAATTTTTAAAAAGAAATTAATTTAGTGGCGCGTCTTAGACAAATTAGACCCACTCTTTGCCTCATAACTCAGGAATGGATTAATCTTACAAAATACTTTTTATACCATTCAATAGACAATTAAATTTGCTATAAAATACAATTTTAATAAAAAATTTGAATGGCCTAAGAAAAAAGTTATGGGCAAAAAACTCTCAAGTAGTATTGCTTCCTAGTCAGGTTACGTCCACTCTTTCCCTCATAACTCAAGATTAGATTGACGCTATAATATAATTCTTATATCATTTGATAGAGGATTAAATTTACTACAAAATAGAATCTTAATAAAAAATTTACTTGGCCTAAGAAAAAAGTTATGGGCAAAAAAGCTTCAAAAATTCATTATTTTTTAAAAATCTAGTCAAAAATGTTTTCAAAATTCTTCTTGTTGATTTTCTTCATAACAATTAAATTAGCCTATTCAATGTTGAGAGGTCCAATGCCACAAACAAAAGAAACTGAGGGTAGACCACAATTTTGGTCTTTTAATCAACAACATCCTCCTTTAATTACTACAACAACAGAAAAACCAAAGTAAAAGGATTAAAACAATACGAAAAACATTTAGTTTCATACATAGATTTTTTCACATTCTTGGAAACCTTAAAAATGAGTTAAAATAAGGAAACAAGTTTCTAAGGAAGACTCATGAAAACATAAAACATGATGGAAAACATATTAACAAGGGGAAAACAAAACTTAGTTAATATTGTAAAACATTCCGGAAAACATTCTTCTAAATGTTTTAGTAACCTCAAAAATTCCGGAAAACAAGTTCCTGAATATATTCTGACAATGTTTTTATTATTATAAACATTCCAGAAAATTCTGAGATGTTTTAAAACATTCCGGAAAACATTCTCATTAATGTTTTCACATTCCAAACCTCAAACATTCCGGAAAAACAAGTCACGGAATATTTCCTGATAATGTTTTTATTATTTTAAAACATTCCGGAATGTTTTAAAATACCCCGGAAAAACAATTAACTATTAAGGTCATCAGAAGACTATTACGACGCAATTCAGGAGGAGGAAGAATCTGAACAAAAGGCAAAGAATCAAGAAGATGATCTTTCCAGCGCCTTACATTTAATGACTGCTTTACAAACTAATGTTAATCCCTTGTTCCCAATTTTGCCTGGTGGAAAAAACAAGAAAAATACGAAACTTGGCATTAGTGAGTGAATTTTAAAGCTCTATAACTCATGAATATATGGGTCTTTCACAAAGGTTTTGGTACCATTCGATAGAGAATTAAATTATCTTTAAGATAAAATTGAAATAATTAATGTATATTAAATAACTAAAAAGTTATTGAGGAAAAACTGACAAAATTCTGGTAAAAATGTTGATTTTCGGCAGTTTTTCTTTCATAAAAACGTTAGTTTTGAATCAAAAAATTTTATTCTTATCTGATTTTATAGAGAATTTAATTCTCTATCGAATGATATATTTTGCTTTAAATTTGGTCCATCTTTTCTTAAGTTATAAGGTCAAGTGTAAAACGAGGTCTTGTCTTAAATTCTATGCCTTTTAGAACTTCCAAAACAGAAAAATCAAGAAAAACAACGTTCTTTGGTTGAGGGGGATACTTATGATGATGATCAAGTAGAAATTGACCAGACTGGTTCAAATAAAAATTTTAAAACAAAGAAAAACAGTGAAATAAACGAAGGGCCAATGATTGTATTGCTGCCGGACATTGAAAGTTTGTAGTAGAAATGTGTATTTTATTAGAAAACTTAAAAACTTTCCGGAAAATACAAAAATTAAGAAAATACAAAATGTGTTTTTATTTGCCTGCGTACACATAAATTAATAAAACTTTCCGGAAAAATACATACAATTTACTTTATATGTAGAAAATAATATTAAAACTTTCCGGAACCATGCGTATATAATAAAATATAACCTAACAACTTTCCGGAAAAATACAATTTTGTGTTTTTAATTATAACCTTATTTATATTCATGTATTTCATTCTTTAATCTTAAATAAATTAAATTTTTAGTGGAACAATCAGCAGGAAATAAACAAAAGAAAGACGGACTAATTTTAGTGGATGAGGCTACTGCTGCTGAGAATAAAAATGATAGACCAAATTTAGCAACACCACCAAAAGCAAAAATAATTGTTTTTAATTAAATTTTATTTGAATTGCTTAAAAAAATATTTTTTAATTCTTTGAATAAAAATTTTTCTGGTTTACTTGGAAAGAATTCAGTTGGATATAAACAAAAGTTGTAAATTACAAATAAATTATAAAACTTTCCGGAAGAAATACAACGTACCGTAAAGAATATTAAAGTAAAATAAATACTAATCAAACTTTCCGGAAAACACATGTAGAAATTACGAAGAAATACAATTAGGTGCATATATGTACATATAAAAGATTTAAAACACAAAACTTTCCGGAAAACACATTGCATAATAATGCGAACTACAAATAGGTCTATAAAGAAATATAAAATACAAAACTTTCCGGAAAAATTGCAGAATAAAAATAAAACTTTCCGGAAAACAAATCAATTTACATTAACATAAACATTTTACGGAAACACTTTTTGCCCACTCAAATGTTCGGAATAATTCAGCATTAATATTTGTGTTTTTTCACCCTCTAAATTTCCAACTTGCTTGGGGCTTGTTGAATTAACCAAATTAATAAATTTATCCAATTTAATATTTTCCCCATTCTCTTCTATATTACTTTCCATTTTTTTGTATTTTTCGAAAATATTTGTTTCAATTAAAGTGCCCCTTTTGGGCATTAATTCTCTCCATTTTTCCTCAATTATTAGACAAGTGTTCTTTAAATATTTTTTAATTAAAATTTAAATTTAATAAATTACTGTGGTAGTTGACTGAGCAACCTGAATAGCCATATAATCCATTAAATGAAGCCATAACCCAATTAAAATTACCCAATTTTTAATTAAATCTTCACAGGTTTCTCCAATAACCATTGAAAGTTTATTTGTATTTTCCGGAAAGAATTGTGTTTTATGTGTATTTTGTTTTCCGGTTGTGTATTTTGTATTTTCCGGCAAGTTTATTTTACTTCAGTAGTTTTATTTATTTTTCCGGTTGTGTTTTCCGGAAAGTTTATTTTCTTCTGTGTTTTCCGGTTTGTATTTTCTTTTCTGGTTATGTATTTTCTATATTTCCGGAAAGTTTATTTTATTTTCCGGTTGAATAACGTCTCTCCAAGTTCTGTATTTTATATTCAGATCCGTATAGTTTATATTTTCCGGAAAGTTTATTTCTTCTGTGTATTTTGTGTATTTTAATTTCTTCCGGAAAGTTTGTGTTTTCTTTAATGAGTTTTGAAAGCTTATTTCGCAATTTTGTATTTTTTATATTTTCCGGAAAGTTTATTTTACAATTATAATTTTAAACTTGGAAGTTTTGTATTTCCTTTCCGGTTCTATTTCCTTTCCGGAATTGTGTTTTTAAATGAATTATTTTTGTGTTTTTACAATTCAAGTTTATTTTACAATTAAACAAATTAAAGATAAAATCAGAGTGAATAATGAAGTGAGGGGGGGAATAGACAGACTAGTATTGCCAGCATTGATTTATTCAATAAATGCCCTTTATAGAAATTGATTTTTAAATTTTTTTTTAAATTAAAATTTTAAATTAAAATTTATTTAATAAAATTCCCCCCAAATTTTTTTTTATTATTTTTTTTCTTCCACTGCGCCGCGAAGAATCGATTATATTTTTTATTTGTTTTGCCTGCACCTTCTGTGGTTTCTCGTGCAAACCGCCCTCTTGGCTTTACAATTGACCGGATAACAAACACTACAATTTTATTTTATTTTTATTTTCCCAGTAAAAGAATTTTATTTTCCAAAAATAAAATTAAAAAAGAAAAAAAAATTTTATTTTTTTTTCTTACTCAAAAAAATTTAAATCAAAATAATCAGATTAATTTTTAATTAATTAAATGAGTTTTGATTGTCATTTGCATGTAGCTGTTACACCATACTCTAACAAATTTGTTCATGATGGAGTAAAGGCTGTCGAGAAGTAATTATAATTAAATATATTAAACTTTCCGGAAAACACAAAAACTGTAATAGAGAAATAAAGTTAGAATTTTCCGGAAAATACAAACTTAAAGAAGCATCTAAACTTCCGGAAATACAAAATATTTAAACCTTCCGGAAAACTTGTTACGTGTATTTTATAAACTTTCCGGAAAACACAACTTACATACACATAAACTGTATCTCATAAAATAAACTTGAATATGTATTTTTTCCGGAAACATAATACAAGATGTATTTTACTGAAAACACATAAAATACAACTTTGTAGAAAACACATACATATGTAATATTAAACTTTCCGGAAAACACTTATTTAATTTTCTCTTGTGTTAGATTCGATCCCAACAATTTAATTCGGCTTCCATGGCCGCGTACTTTCCACGGCAAGGGTCGCGTTCCCGAAGGCGGACTTGGAGGGCAAATTGTTGCCGAACAGATGCATGTTGTTTGGCACGGTGACTCCCTTATTTGCCCCATTTCTGAACAAGTAAATTTTAATTTTTTGGATTTTTAAATAAAATTCAAGGCAAAACCTATCGCTGATCGCCCACCAAAACACGAAACAGAAATTCATTATCACGGCGCATTTCTTGCCCAAATTGATGGGCAAGTTGCCTATGTGCCTGATTTGGCTAATACAACACATTATTTAATTATGGTAAATTAATTAGGGAAAAAATTAATAAAGATAATAAAAAAATTTGAAGAGGTAGCTTGACTAGAAACGCTATAACTTTTCGTCAGGCGTAGATAAAAATTTAATTTTTATGTCAAAAGATAGAGCAGCCTTGGCTCTATAAAATACCAAAAAATTATATTTTTAATCAGGTTTTAAAAAAAGTTATGGAATTTTAGAGCAATTAAGTTGGTATTTTCTATATAAGGATTCTTGTAGTTTTTTGGCCTTGATCTTAACAAATCTCAAATATTTTTTTATCATCTATATATCAATTTGAAGCTCTGATTATGCTCTATTTTTTAAAATTAATTTTATTTTTATATCTTTATTTAAACAAAAGTTATAGATTTTTAAACTATATTAATCAGCATTTAAAAAATTGAATTTTTAGGTAGAAAGTCCAGTAGCTGAGATTCACGCCATACGATTTGGCCCTCAACACACAGCATTAATTGACCCATTCATAAAACATTCCATGCCTATTCCACTCCGTGGAGAACTCCAATTTATTGTTTGGCATAGAAGTGTAAGTTGAGTTTGGGGAGGGCGACTAGGGTTGCTTCCAGGCTTTATAACTTTTAAAATCTGAATCCGATTAAAAAGCTTTTAGTGCCATTCGATAGAGAATTAAATTCTCTACAATATAGAATAAAAATTAAAATTTTATATTGGACAGAAGAAAAGTTGTGGTCGAAAAACAAACATTTTTCGAGAAAAAGTTGCCTGTTTTTAAGAGTTTTTTGAGAATAACTTTTTCCTCCTTTTATCTGTTAAGTTGATTTTTATTCTATTTTGTAGTAAATTTAATTCTCTATCGAATAAAAGAAAAATTTTTTAAAAAAGTTTATCCAATCAAGAGTTATGAGGGGTAGAGTTAGGGTCACTAAAGACGGTCGCTAGCGCCATGGCGCTTATTAGAATACATAAGATAGTGAATTAAAAATTAAAATTTCCTCGTTTAAAGACTCTTTTAATCTATTTACGAATTCTAAAAAAATTTTTTGAATAAAAAATCCTCTAAATAAACAGGTAAATGCAGTTGTTCAACTCGCCCCAGACCCTGCTGGTATTCAACCTGTAGTAATCAACTTATGCAAAGTTAACCGAATAGAGCCTATTACTATTAGAAAAGTTTGTCTGCCACCAGAATTGGCAGCTAAAAAGGTTTGGAAATTGAAGAAAAAATTTTCAAAAAAAAATTTCCATAATTTTTGAAAAAAATTTTTTAGCCCCACAAACTACCCCATTTGCCCCACTCCTTTGCCAAGGAAGTTGTACGTCTAACAGATGTTAGTGAAACAACTTTTGCTCCGTTTGGAAGATTGATAAATGATTTTACTATGCATAATGAGGAGCCGGGAGAAGCTTGTTGGCCTGGGGTGGAAGCAGCTTATAGGGAAGGAATGGCTGGGACGTTGTGTCAAGAATTTATGGTTAGCATTGAAATGAGGACGTCTCAGTTTTGGGGCTATAACTCGAGATTGGAGAAAGATATCAAAATTTTTTTGATATCATTCGATAGAAAATTAAATTTCCTACAAAATATCAGAAAATCAGAATCCTTGAAAAATTTTAAAAAAAGTTGTGGGTCAAAAACCAATACTTTAGTACAGAACATGACAGTTTCTGACTTCACTTCCGAGGCTATAATTCAATAATATTAAGACATATTGAATTTATTTTAACGTCATTCGATAGAGAATTAAATTTCCTATAATCTAGCAGAAAAACAAAATTTTTTCTAAAAGACAAAAAAAAGTTATGGTCCAAAACCAATGCTGTAGTATGTAAAAAAACGTCAGCTTCTGTTAGTTTTAAGCCTACAACTTTTCGAAATTTTAATTTAAAATTTTGTTCTTACACTTATTTTGTAGCAAATTTAATTCTCTATTGAATGATAGATAAATTAAATTGATAGCTTCATCCGTTCACGAGATATAATTAAATAACTGAAACGTCCTTAAACTTGCTTTTCTCTAGGTATACTGTAATAATTTGCTAATTTTTACAATAAAAAATTTTTTTGAATAAAGGTCACTTGGAAAATGCAACAGATCGAACCAGAACATGGTGTTGGTAAATTAGAGTTGGAATTTGAAGGGATAACTGGGTCATTTGCTGGAGAAAAGGGGCATCCAGGAGTTGACTATTCTTCTGATTTGGGAATTTATAGAGCTAATGTGAGATGGATTTTTGATTAGAATTAAAAATGATAAGATGCCAAAATATCGTGTCCGGACAAAATATCGAATCGTTAAAATATGGAATAGGCTAAAAAAGGGTTAAAATCTCGAATCGGGTAAAAATGGGTTAAAATCGCGAATAGGCTAAAAAGGGGTTAAAATGTGGAATCGTTAAAATATGGAATGGTTAAAATCTCGAATAGGCTAAAAAGGGGTTAAAATACCGAATCGTTAAAATATCGAACTGATAAAATGTCGACACGGCCAAAATATGTCAAAATGTCGAATTTTTTTAAAATTCAAATCCGGGCGTTACCGTAATACTGACGGTATTTTTCGGTATTACGTACCGTATACGGTTCAGGTATAAAATTCCGGGTTTTATTAGAAACTAGGCACCAGGGATCTAGCCGTCCCGATTCCCGAAAATCGGGAATTTTTATGTCGGCTAGATCCCTGCTAGGCACGCACTCTAATTTTTCTGGATCAGGAAATGCGTTATGGTTTCCGGATCCGTACGATCATGCCGGACCGGATCCGTTCGATTATGCTTGATTTATCCGGTCCGGTTTTACTCGGTAAAATACACTGAACTCGGGCAGAAAAGATTACGCCGGACTATGACATACGAGACTTATCAATCAAATTATCAAAAATAAGTTGATAAGTTGATAAACAAATCAACGTATGGTACTCATCTGACCCTTTTTTAAAAGAATTCGACATTTTGACCCATTTTGGCCGTGTCGACATTTTTACCATTCCATATTTTAACGATTCCATATTTTAACCCATTTTTAGCCTATTCGATATTTTAACCATTCCATATTTTAACGATTCGGTATTTTAACCCCTTTTTAGCCTATTCGCGATTTTAACTATTCCATATTTTAACGATTCCATATTTTGTACCGGAGCCCAAAATATACCCCCTAAATGACAAAAGACGGCAGAATGCCAAAAATTTCGAAAATGACGATTAACGCCAAAAAATTTGGCAAAATGTCAAATTATTCAAAATTTAAGACAAAACGCCAAAAAATGCCAAAAATTTCAAAAATGCCGAGTAACGCCAAAAATTATGGCAAAATGTCAAATTTTTAAAAAAATTTAAGACGGAACGCCAAAAATTTTTAAAATGACGATTAACGCCAAAAAATTTGGCAAAATGTCAAATTTTTTGAAATTTTAAGACAAAACACCAAAAAATTTCAATATTTAATCAGAACGCCAAAATAACGCCAAAAAATATTTTTCAGTTGTTAATGGCCCGTCCAGACGGTACATTCTACATACAACCCTCCCATACTACCGACTCTTTTGTTATGGCTTTTGCCCTTCCAGATACTCAAACAGGGGAACCTATTGATAGAACATTACAAGCATTTACTTTTAGGGAAGGTTGGGCAGTAAAATAAATTTCTTTAAAAATTTTTTTGTTGCAGGACAAGCACTTCGGTTAGAACCAGGTGTTTGGCACAGTGTGCCTATTCCTGTAAGTTTTTTGGAATTTCCGAGGAGCAAGACAATTGGACTAAAGCAGTGATGAGACGGTCCTGTACCTATTCACTGAACCGGAACCGTTGATCTTTTAGGCTCTTTAAAGCGCCAAAGCTTATACTCACAGAGTGGGGGGCTAGAACCGAAGAACAGTTCGATTCTTTTGAATTGGGGCATGCCTGGACGGGACAATTGGACAAAAACAGTGATGACAAGGTCTTGCAGACCATGGATGGAGCCATGGATCTGTTAGGCTCTTTTAAAGCCCCAACTTATACTCACAGAGTGGAGGACTAGAACCGAAGAACTGTTCGATTCTTTTGAATTAGGGCATGCCTTGACGGTAGTGATGCTCGGGAGAAGAAAAAACCAGGGAAACTGGAGTTGGGTCAGGAAATATCCTAGGGAGTCGTGATCGGGAGGCCAAAAACTCGGGAAATTTCGAGAGTCGGGATCGGGATACCCTACCATCACTACTGGACGGAAGATTGGAATCCCCCAAAAATCCACGATTCATCGGTTAGGTCCCAAACAGACAAAAAACCCTACTGAGGACCGCCCCGATTTAAATTCTAATTGTCTTGCAATTGTCAGTCAAAAAATTTTTATTTTACACAAAATTTTTCAGTTGGTCGGTTCCGGCCCAGTTGTTTTTACAGAAGTTATAGCTGCAACAAATGCCAATTTAGTAATTAATGTTTTGGAAGAGTGTGGACATCCTATACAATTTGTACAGGCTATTTAAAGGATAGGAGAGAAAATAGAAGGGATTTATACTTAAAAATAGAGTAGATTGCCATAAAACTCTGAAAATTTTCTTAATTTTTGTTTTTATTAAAAAATCACAAAATTATTTTTTAAATAAATTTTTATATATTATGTAAAAACGCAAGAAACGTTGTTAATAAATGCAACAAATATGTCGATAAATAGGAGATTTTTCAAGAGCAGCGATGATCTCTAATGAGAGCTAAGCGGTACCGGTATTTCGAGAATAGATCTGTGTAGGGATTCAAAACAAATGTTTTTGGAGTGACCAAGGACTTTGGAAGCCAAGGACTTATTACCGCCAATCCTGGTCGAGATCTCGTTAGCACCTAACCCTACTATAAATACCCAACACCCCAAAAACTGACAAATTGTTGCTCTTAGTACCTTCGGCAAACTAGTTTTGCAAATTGTCCCACTAGACTATTAATCTCCAAGTGGGAAAATGTCTCATTAGTTAAGACCAAGTAAGATCAAAGACTTATTTGGAACTTAATAGATGGAAATTTCTCAGAGTTTATGAATTAGAAAACTTTAAATTTTTTTAATTTATGGGAAAATGTCTCATTAGTTAATATTTCAAGATAAAACGGTGTATTTTAGTTGGTCAGGTATGCGATTATTATTTAAATATTCCTTTTAATTAAAGGGGTCAAAATGGAATTAGGGGCAAAATTAATGTTTGTTCCGATATTTTTTTATACATTGACAATTCAAATAAATATCAATTTATGGAAATTTGAATTATTTAGATTTGAATTATAAAATAATATTTGCCTCTTAACACTTTCTCAAACATTTCAAATGATTTTCTGAAACATGTCTGGTTAAAAGGCTTGAAGCAAGTCAATGCCTTTTAAGTTTTCCTTTGTCTATCCTTCCATCAAATAAACTTACCTATATTTAAATATAATATAAGAGGAGAAAAATTCAGTTGACTAAAAATTAAAGCAAAAATAAATCTATAAGAATATTTTTCTGATTAATATTTTTGAAATATTTTAGTGAATCTTTAAATGGTAATTTTTTTAATTTCAAAAATTTTTTGAATATCGATAAAATTGAACGATAATTATGGAACTCGAAGTCCGAAAATTTCCAATTTATTCATTTTTTTCAGGCAGACACAACGACTACCCCAGTATTCACCCAAAAACTCACGATTCTCGGCAGACCAAGTATTAGATCGTCGGCTCATATGGAAACTCGACTCCGACAAATGCTAGAAATTTTGACTGCTATATTTTTGCAGATCAACTACCGGCTGCTATGCTGCTGCTATTGATGGACAATTAAATTTCCTTGATATTGCAAATCCACAGCCTGATAATATTGTTGTTAATGATGTACACCACAATTGCATAAGCTAGCTATTGAATTGAATCCGGAGAAGAATCCTCTTCAATTACAAACAAATGGGGATTTGCAGCAGGACGATGTTTGTTTTGTGTGCTCCTCTTCTCAGAACGTTCCAATGGGTGAATATTTGTATATTAAATTAGATAAGATATTTTATAGGAGCTATTAAAACATAGGAGCTATTAAAATGATATAAAATTGAACGTGATTGAATAACCTTTGTCAAAATTAAACCCATAACTTTGATTCTTTTGTTTCCTTTAGAAAAATTTTGGAGAAAATAACAAGAAAAAATATATGGGGGAAACTATCAAAATTTTGAATAAAAATATTTTTAATTAAGTTGGCCAAATTGTTGCTTCAAAGAAATTGAAGAGAAGATTTTTTAAAGAATGTAAACAATAACCTGTTGGTCGAAGGAGGGCGATTCGTTATGGTAAACAACAACGAGCATTTGTCCTTAATTATTTATAATGCAGTACCTGGTGATTCTGGCTTATATTGTGTAAGTTTATTGATATGGCGGACAAAACACCATCCCCTAGCTACTCATATTCTAAAACAGTAAAATTTATTGCCTATTCGTAGGTAAAACAAATACTAAATAGAATTTTGAGATAGGTTAAAATACTAACAAAGACCTAATAGTCTACTACCGTATTTTCTCTAAAATAGCCTCCCGGCATTATTTTTTTCGATCGACCTCTACAGGGGGGGGGGGGTTATTTTAGAGAAAATTTATTTTAAAGAAAATTGCCTCTCACCCTTTATTTAAATAAACCTTCGAAAAAAAGTAGAGGAAGAGGGCAGAAAACCCAGTCATAGCACGATCATTCAAAATAGTTTAATTAATTTAAGGCTTTTGCGGTCAACCAAATGGGATTTTCTGACGTGGAGGTATTTCTCAATCTTATGCCTGCTGCGCCTGCTCCTGCTGCTGTACCATTTGAAAATCAATTACCGGCCGTTATCGCTGCTGCGATAGACGATGCTGCTATTAATGGACCATTATATAATTTCAATGATATTGCAAATCCACCGCCTGCTAATGATGTTGTTAACGATGTGCAGCCACAATTACATATGCTTGCTATTGAATGGTATCCGGAATCGAATCCTCTTCAATTACAAGCAAATGGGGATTTGCAGCATGAAGATGTTTGTTTTGTGTGCTCCTCGTCTCAGAACGTTCCATTGGGTGAATATTTTTATATGAAATTAGATAAGATATTTTATAGGAGCTATTGAAACATAGGAGCTATTAAAATGATATAAAATTGAACGTGATTGAATAACCTTTGTCAAAATTAAACCATAACTTTGATTCTTTTGTTTCCTTTAGTAAAATTTTGGAAAAAATAACAAGAAAAAATATATGGGGGAAACTATCAAAATTTTGAATAAAAATATTTTTAATTAAGTTGGCCAAATTGTTGCTTCAAAGAAATTGAAGAGA